AGCCACAGAAGTCTGCTTTAGTAGCCAGGTATGAGTTTGACAACCGAGCACGTAACGCAGGAGAAACGGTGAGTCAATATGTTGCTGTTTTGAAACATCTAGCTATGGATTGCAAATTTAACGACGCCATGCGTTTGGAAAGGCTTAGAGATAGACTGGTTTCGGGTATTCGAGATAAGAGAATGATGTCAGAGCTTTTGAAACTTAAGCTTGAGGAACTAACATTTGACATTGCTGTTGCAAAGTGCTTAGCTATTGAGCAATCTTACAAGGATGTTGAAGCTCTCCAGGGGAATAAAGCGTCAGAATCAATCGATCTATTAGCCAAATCAAAGCCAGGCAAGAAGCTTAAATTTAAGAGAGAAGCCAAGCTTTCAGAGAAAAAGGGTTCTTTTTCCCCCAAGAGAACGGGTGATCAAAGTTGCTACCGCTGTTGGGGAATTCATGATCACAAAAGTTGTCCATTCAAGAAAGAAAAATGCCACCACTGTAACAAGACTGGTCACATTGTGAGGGCTTGTAAATCAAAGAAAAAAGAGACACAAGTTTCCCAACCCCCAGTAAATTATGTAGACAGCGATGACGGGGACAGCGATGATTATTTGGCATCCCTTGAGGTTAATAATGTGGGTGACAAGGATCACGTAATATGGGTCAACCCCGAAATACAGGGAAAGGTGGTCAAGATGGAACTAGACACAGGGTCAGCGGTGTCTGTACTTCCATACAAACAATATAAGGAACATTTTAATCATGTCAAACTTTCAAAGAGCCTTGTGACACTTAAGACATACACTGGGCAGAAAATCACACCTAAGGGAGAGATGAGATGTAATGTTAAGTTCAAGGGCCAGGAAAAAGAGTTAAACCTACAAGTTGTTGAGACGCAGGGACCAGCACTGTTTGGGCGTGACTGGCTGTCCAACATTCAACTGAACTGGGGTGAAATCAAAACCTTTAAGCTTAGCAAGACTTCAGAAGGGGGTATGGCACGCAAAGTGGATCAGCTACTACAGAAGTACGAGTCTGTATTCTCCGAAAATCTGGGCACACTTAAAGGCTACAAGGCGGATTTGAAGGTCGAGGAAGGCTGCCAGTCCAGCTTTCATAAACCACGCCAAGTGCCATACGCACTCCGCCCCAAAGTAGAAGCAGAATTGACACGCTTAGAGAAGGAAGGTATTCTCTCTAAAGTAGAATACAGTGAATGGGCGACCCCAATTGTCCCGGTAGTCAAGCGAAACGGATCGGTACGAGTTTGTGGCGATTTTAAGGTCTCAGTGAATCCAGTACTTCTTGCAGAACAGTACCCTCTGCCACGTATAGAGGATATTTTTGCAAATTTGGCTGGCGGTAGACATTTCAGCAAGCTTGACCTTCGCCAAGCTTATCACCAGATGGAAGTAACCGAAAGATCCAAGGAACTCCTTACGATTAATACACACAAGGGCCTTTTTCGATACAATCGCTTAGTCTTTGGCATCTCTTCGTCTCCAGCCATTTGGCAGCGTGCCATAGACCATGTATTACAGGGAATACCTGGGACCCAGTGCATCCTTGATGACATGATTGTCACAGGCAAAACCGATGAAGAACATTTGGAGAACCTGGAGAGTGTACTCAAGCGATTACAAGATGCGGGTCTGAAGGCTAACAAGGAGAAGTGCGAGTTCTTCAAAGATAGAGTTCAGTTTTGTGGGCATGAGATCGATAAGGAAGGTCTACACAAGACACAAGAGAAGATTGAAGCAGTGGTCAGTGCACCAAGACCTGAGAATGTGTCACAGCTTCGCTCATTTTTAGGGCTCGTAAACTATTACAACCGTTTCTTGCCCAATGCGTCTACAGTTCTCCACCCACTTCACCAGTTGTTAGAGCAAAACAACGAATGGCAGTGGACTGAACGGTGCGAGCGAGCGTTCACTGAGGCTAAGCGTATGATTACATCTGAGCAGGTGCTAACGCACTATGACCCAGCATTACCGGTTAGGCTGGCATGTGATGCTTCACCAACTGGCATCGGCGCGGTTCTTTCACACGTCATGTCCGATGGTAGCGAAAGGCCGGTAGCTTTTGCGTCCCGATCGTTGACCAAGACTGAACGACGGTATGCACAGATAGACAAGGAGGCATTGTCCATTGTGTGGGGGGTGAAACGATTTCATGTTTACCTCTATGGGAGACGATTTATGCTCATTACAGACCACAAGCCCCTCACCGCCATCTTCCACCCAAAAAAGGGAGTTCCAGCCATGACTGCTGCAAGGCTTCAGCGATATGCATTGTTCTTGTCTGGGTTCGACTATATCATTGAGTATAAGAGTACAACCAAACACTGCAATGCCGATGGACTGTCGCGGCTCCCTCTCCAGCAGAAAGAGCGAGAAGACTTGGAGGTGGATTCAACAGAGGTGTTCCACGCCTCTCAGTTTGTGCCATTACCTATAACCAGTGAAGCAGTGGCAAGAGAAACACGTCGTGACGTTGTCCTAGCGAGGATACATGATTCTATCGTGAAAGGATGGTCTACTCGTGTGGAGGGAGACAAGCCTTATTACGAGCGACGCAATGAACTGACAGTTCACCAAGGCTGCATCCTATGGGGAATGAGAGTGGTAGTTCCCAATAAGTTACAAAGCAGAGTGTTAGAGGAACTTCATGATGGGCATCTGGGCATGGTCAAAATGAAAGCACTCGCGAGGAGCTACGTATGGTGGCCTAATATCAATGGTCATCTGGAAGAGCTAGCAAAAGGCTGCAGCGGGTGTCAGCAAAACCAGAAGATGCCTGCTAAAACACCACTACATCCGTGGGAGTGGGCCACTACACCATGGCAGCGTATACACATCGACTACGCAGGGCCATTTCAGAACTCGATGTTCTTAGTGGTTGTCGACGCACACACCAAGTGGCCAGAAGTGGTTCCAGTCAAGTCAACTTCTTCAAGTTCGACTATCGAAATTCTACGCGATTTGTTCGCCAGATTTGGAATTCCAGAACAGATAGTCAGTGACAATGGTACACAGTTTGTTTCTGAGGAATTCCAGACATTTGTCAAGTCCAATGGCATCCGCCATATAACTTCAGCACCGTACCATCCAGCGACGAATGGTCTTGCGGAAAGGACAGTACAAACCTTCAAACAGGCTTTGCGTTCCATGCGTCAAAGCCCCAAGCCAGTGAGGGAGAAGTTGGCGAAGTTTCTCATAGCTTACAGGAACACTCCACACTCCACCACCGGTGAGAGCCCAGCACAGTTACTCCTGGGAAGACCATTGCGTACTCTCCTAGATTTGGTGAAACCTAACTTAAACCGTAAGATGGTTAACCAACAACACCAGCAGAGCATTAAGGCAGCGATTGACAAGGGTAAACAGTATCGCCAGTTAGAGATTGGTGACTCAGTTATGTCATGGGATTATCGAGGGGATCTGAAGTGGCGTCCAGGGCTGATTGTTAACAAAACAGGTCCGCTGATGTATGAGGTATAGGTGGCACCGGGACTGATCTGGCGCCGACATATTGATCAGTTGAGACCAACGGCAGTTGGACACACAGTTGAAAGCACTGACGCCAACTGTAGTGTTGAAGTCAGCCAACCTGAAGTGGCCAACACACCACTGACCCCAATTACATCAAGTACTCCAACCACTGAGGGCGGCACAGCTCCAGGAGGTTCCAGAAAAGATCAACCAAAGATGGTTCCTGTTTCCACACCTACGGTACCTGACCCTCCTGATGCTAAACCAGCTACAGTTAGTCCGATGGTCAAAATGCGACAACACCCTCAGAGAGTTCGCAGGGCACCACAGAGGCTTGATCTCTGAACTTTGTTTTATTCTGTTCGTTTTCTTGTTTAAAGGTCGTGCTTACCTTTCGAACTGTGGTTACCGGACACTGTTGGTTTATTTTATGTTTTCCTTGAAATTGTATTTTAGGGCTTGTTTTGAAAACTAGGGACAGATCGTTTAATGTGTGGAGGAATGTTATGGTTTTCCAGTGTGTTGTATGTTGTGTGTTACCATATATGGTTTGCTCATGCGCACGCATGAGGCTTCATTAAACAGTCTTTTACTTACCGAACCGCCATGTTGTTTGGGGTGTGTAGTTCTTAAGTAATACATGACAGTTACCATAAGTGAAGGCAAGCATTCTGAATGAATTGCTTCAACATGAAACACTTCCTGGTCCTCCGGTTCATTCGAATTCTGAAAGGTTTCGTAGCCCATATTTACAGTCGTATTACATGTTGATGTGGTGGTTGTTGGTTCGGTTGTTGTCCCTTTTGAAGTTGTGGTGGTTGTTGGTTCGGTTGTTGTCACTTTTGAAGTTGTGGTGTCTGTCGAATTGACTGACATTGGGATTCGTAGTTTTGGTGACGCTCTTTTCTGTTTACAGATACCAGACGTCCACCGAAATATCGATGGTTCAGCTCCTGAAATGAATATATTTTATCAGTTCATTGTGTTTATAATTTGAGAATGGACTCGTTTACGTAAAGCAGCTACAACTTAGCTGAATCAACTTATATAAACTCTTACCATCACGTAATCTACTTCTACTTCCTCCTGGACGTTTGAAAATGTCACTAGCAGGAAAATGCTGTTCGCAAATAACAGTATTTGAAGTAACTACGAACCCATCTCGACCGTTGTGTCTCTTGATAAGGTTGCACCATCGCTGTATTAATGAACGCTTTTTCGAGAAGTGAAAAAATCGCAAGCCAGACGATTTTCCAGTGCGTAAATATTCTGTATTCGTACATTCAGAGGCCGCACACTCCTTTCCTCGTCTCGCTTGCTTCTTTCTAGTAGTTTTGTGCTCCATTTTCGATTATATTAGCGATTGTGTGGTGAACAGACGAGATGCGACTCAGGATAAGCCTCACTTTCGTGCACCAGCGTGAGCCTTCACGGTCTTAGTCAGCGGATGTTCCGAGTGACCCTAAAAGGGACTATTGTTTATGATCACTTGTCGTGCAAGTTCAAAATTATGTGAAGTACAATGTTGATGTTAATGTTTTGTTTTTTGTATTCTATAGAACAAGTTAGTGACCCTACCACACCTATGGACAGGCTACTCACACACATTGAAAAAAAAAAGATGACATTAGAAGATAAAGCCCTTTATAACACCAAGTAGGTCTATATATTTACGAAGGTACATTTTAGTTATTTAACTCATGGAAATGATAGTCTGTTTGAACACTTGAAAGTACAGTTGTAATATTAAGCAGGAATACCCCAAGTGTAAATATTGCTGTTCAATTTTATTCTTGGTTATTTTCCTTTCCTTTGCTTTGGCATTGTGATGTACAGTATGATAATGATATGACAATGAGTTTAAAACAAAGGAAAATGAAAATTGAACCAAGGATAAAATTGAAACAGAACATACACACTACTCAAATACGTGTTGAGAAGTCACCAGTGGCATTTCTTCATATCTTTTAGGAAGAAGATGATAATGATGGAGGTGTCTAAATAATGGCCAGAAGACCAAGAAACCCCATCATTTGGGAAAACTACCTCCGAATCTTCAAATCTGTTGAAATTTATTGAACGTCTGGGAAATGACGAGCAATTCACTTTTAAGAAGTATGGCCTTGGCCAAAAAGCTATTAAAGAAATGGTCCTTACACATATGAGAGAACGAAGAAGGGCGCAGAAAGTTGCAAAGATTTGTGAAAGTGAAAGTGAAAGTGCAGACACAGCAGGTACAATTAGTGCAAGTGAATCAAGCAGTAGTAATGGATCACCTCCCCCCAGTATCTACGACAAAAAGAGGAAAGAATATGTGGCGTATTTTAACCCAAGTAAGTACACGTACACTTCATAATATTTGTCTGGGTAAATGCAGTGCTCTTGACTTCAATTCATGATGGCAACTGTGACGTGTTGAATTATGGGTAGGTAGATCAGTCAGCCTCAAATTTACTGTGTTTGTACGAGAATCTGAGAGCAAAACACTTTCTTAAAAAATTTCCTAGTAATTCATGAAAAGCAAACTAGGTTATGACTGATCCATGTACCCAGAATTCAATGTATGACATCATTTTTTTTATGACAAATGTTGCATTTGGCCAATTGTGTACTGTTTGCCAATATGGTTTGTAAGTTTTCTGAATGTTTTTTCTTCGCTGCATGCAGGAGAGTGGGAGTACTTTAGAACTGGTGCAAAAGTTCTTTGTAAACTTATAAATTTAGTATATAAAGGGGGTGCCGCATTCAGTTTAGTTATAGAAATGTATTCTGTTGTGATTGTTTTATGCCAGTATCTAATCTAATTTATCTTTTCATTTAATTTCCACTACAGAACTGACACAGGCATCGTGCGACTGCATTATTTTAGTTGCCTTGGACAAGCCATCTGTGATGCATGTCCAAAGATCCAAGGAACTAGAAAAGCTCAAAAAATTGTTTGGGCTGAGCCTCCTAAGAGGCAAAGGTAAAAAACACTTATATAAGGGCAACAGCGAATGCTCTCCTGGAACATGGGTATGTTGAAGTGGATAAAGAGGGAGACCTTACCAACCTCAGGAGAGACCAGTTGAAAGTGGCCAAAAAGATTGATCTCTAAATGTATAGACAGCGCTAGCTCCTTTCATGTACATGGACATGTGCAAATTATGTGGATGTTTACTATGGTTCATATTTTGTAAGAATAATTGAGTGACTGCAGAACTGACACATGTTGATGTTAAATTACTATGGATCAAATTTTGTAAGAAATGTTGAGCCTGACTACAGAACTGGTCACACATGTACAGGCATCATGTGACTGTGCGATACTAGTATGGTTTCATTGGTCAAGCCATCTGTGACAAAGATCCAAGGAATTAAAAAATCTCAAGAATGTTGTGTTAAACTTCCTAAAAGGAAAAACAAAAAGACCTATATAACGGCAACAGCAAATGCTCTCCTGGAACATGGTTATGTGGAAGTGGACAAAGGATAGATCAGTTAAAAGTGGCCAAAAAAAATTATCTGTAAATGTATGGACTCCTTTCATGTACATGGACAAATAATGTTGATGTTTTCTGTTGATCATATTTTGTAAAAATTGTTGAGCTTATATATAAATCAGAGCTACACAATTGCCTTTTATCCAACATACGGTTTAATGTTGAAGTAATGGATGTTTTTCACTTTGAAAGTCACACAGGCATCCTGTGATAATGCATTGAAACCCTGTCAGTTGCAATTGTTTAGAGATCTTCAAGATATTTTGGCGGTTGAAACAACTAAAAAAGCTAGTAAAGAACTCCATTATCTGGGCAATTGTGTGTGCTCTTAATCTTAAACATTGCTCATCTGGAAGTTGGCCTGGGGTCAGAGATCATCTTAAAAAGGAAAAGGTTTCTTGTACAGGCTGGGTCAGTTCCTCAGTCACAATCTTTTAACTACCAGATTGGTTTTCAATGTTCTTGGTATTTTTTTTTTTTGTACTTTACAGTTACAGTACATTGTTGCATATACGAAATTATAAATTTCATTACTTAAATGCTTCTTTGTTGTGACTTTTACTTTAAAATACACCACTTAGTACATTTCAATCACTACTCGCCTCATTACAAAAAACCTGCCATGGTAATTAAAGTGACCACTGTGGTCCTTTACATTGGAAATCTAGATTTCCTTCCATAGAAATTGTGATTTACATGCTTCCCTACAAAACCAATTTCCAAGTGTGGTAAATGTTATCCATCTGTGGGCTTGACCATAGAAAAACCTGCCATGGTAATTAAAGTGACCACAACGTGGTCCTTTCCATTGGAAATCTAGATTTCCTTCCATGAAAATTGTGATTAACATGCTTCCCTACAAAACCACTTTCCAAGTGTGGTAAATTTTATCCATCTGTGGGCTTGACCATAGAAAAACCTCCCATGGTATTTCATTTTCCATAGTGGGATAAGTAATCTTGGACATTGCGATTTCCTTTCTTGGGAATTCCAATTACCATGATAAATCCCAATGTTGTGTATGCATAATTTCCACATTTGGAAAGTTTAGAAACCATCAGTGGATTTGTGCAAAAACCATGTGTGGAAAAAGAGTACTTTTTCCACACATGGTATTTTGCTAAAAACCACAGCAAAACCACCAAAAAACCATAAATAATACATGCATGGAAACTTGATAATTTTTCCAGTGGAGGGGAACTTTGATTCCTCTGTGTCCCCACCTAGGAGGGGGAAAATAAGAACTTTGACAGGGTCCTTTACAAAGTCCCCACCCTTGCCCGGGGTCCCCCCCCAGGGGATGGCCGATGATAGGTGCATAAATAGTTCGCACTGCTTTATAAACCTACTGCCGTACTGTAGCTGGTTGTGCACAAGCATATTTTTCTTAAATCTTTATTCTCAGAACACAGTGGATGACAGACACTGACAAATTTAAAAAGGAAGAAATTTCGCTTATGAAAGGTATGTGCTGCCGCAATATTGGAACTTGATATGCAGCAAATTTTGTGATAAGTGGACCCTGATATAACTGAGCTTAAAATTAAGCTTTGATCCAGTTCAGTTTTACGTTGCACTTTGACAGGAGCCGAAATTTCCGGAAAGTCGTTACCAATGGTGGACCGCCAAGTGTTAAAAGATATTGGCATAACGAGTGTTGGGAGACAGCTGGAAATTATCCATGTGTTTCAGGAAGTAATTCAACCAGCAAGTAAGCCTTGGTCTTGAGCAGTACTGTAAAATAACTGTGAGGATTTAACTTTTCTAACATCGGGATATTTGGGAAGTTAATTGCATTTCTCCAAGAGCCAGAAATTGATCAAGTTAATTCAGTTACTTTGCAATAGTCTATTTTGGATTTCTTTGCTCCTTCTGGATAAAATAATGTAGTCCTGACAGTGCAAATTTTAAATTAACTGAACATGAGGCACACTCTGTATAACTTTTGTGCCTATCATGTTTTCATTAATTAGTAGGAAAGAAGCAAAATGACCAGTAGTAGTGATGCAAATGATCTCCATGTTTTAGTCTTTATTTAGGTCAGATTTTAATTTAATTTCTTTCAAAATAATTTCTTTCATTAATAATGCCAGGCACTGAACAAATGTGTGCTGACAGGGATCAAGAAGCAGGAACTTCAACTTTCAACGTTTCGACGTTCAACAATCAGTGGGAAAAGAAAGTGAAGAAATCAGACCAGCGTAAATGGTCAGAGTGTAACAAGAACTTATATCGTACAAAGTAGGTAGAAAACCAGCACTTAATACTATCACAATTAGATTCTTTTACTTATAACAAGGCTAGAAAATGAATAACTTTGATTGACCTGATATAATAGATCGTTTTCACTCACGTGACCAATTCCTTGACTACCGTTGCTTCGCCGCCATATTGGTGTACCTCAATTGTAAACAAACTAGTAGCGTCCTTCGCGTGGAACATGGTTTTGTGTCTGATTGTTGGCTGTGGCAGCAAAAGTGGACGAGATAAAGGGTTGTACTTTGCAAGGGTGCCTCCTGTGGTCACAAATCAAGGCGAAGAGGCACAGAAACTATCCGAAGAAAGAAGATCGCGCTGGATTTCAGCGATAAGCCGTGACGATCTGACCGAAGAGATCTTAGAAAATGATCGTGTGTGCGAAAAGCATTTTGTTTCAGGAAGGGCAGCTAAGAGCTGGGATAAATTTAATATTGACTGGGTTCCGACATTGCTTTTGGGACACAAGAAAGCTACTGATCGAGCAGATCATAAAGAAGCGGCAGCAAAACGAAGCGAGAGAGCGAGGGAACGTGAACTGGTGTAGAAGCCGGCTTTTGAAAAGAGAGAACGAGAGCTAGAACTAGAGCGAACGGCGAAGAGACAGAAACTTAATGAGCCCGGTGAACAGGTTTCAAACCTCAGCTTTGAAGGAAATGAGGACGAAGAGAAAAAATTAACAGTTGAAGCTGGCACACAAACTGAAGAGTTTGAAAATTATTCAGCTCTCTAAACATTGACCGGAAACCATTTGATCGGTGGGAATTTGTACAAAACGAAGAAAAAGTTAAATTCTACACTGGATTGCCTTCCTTCGATATCCTGCAAAATGTTTTCGAACATGTTTCTCCGTTTGTTGCTTACAAGTCCCAGAATCTGACCACATTTCAAGAGTTTGTCATGACTTTGATAAAACTTAAACTTGATGCACCACATCAAGATCTTTCATATCGCTTCAATGTCTCCCTTTCAACAGTTTCAAGGATTTTTTCATCCTGGATGGTAGCGCTAGATGTACGCCTGGCTCCACTTATCAACTGGCCTGAACGTGAGGATTTATGGCGAACTATGCCACAGTGTTTTAAATATTCATTTGGAAACAAACCTACCGTGATTATTGATTGTTTCGAAGTATTTGTTAATAGACCATCAAATCTGCTCGCAAGAGCACAGACATGGTCATCGTACAAACACCATAACACTGTTAAGGTGCTGATTGGGATAACTCCACAAGGTACAATCTCCTATGTTTCCCAAGCTTGGGGAGGACGAACATCAGACAAATATTTAACTGAGAACTGTGGAATTTTAAATAAGTTGTTGCCTGGGGATCTGGTCTTGGCTGACCGTGGTTTCACCATCGCAGAGAGTGTTATGTTTCAGCAAGCACAACTAGCCATCCCTGCTTTCACAAAGGGAAAAGACTAGCTTGACCCTGTGGATGTTGAAAAAACTAGGGGGATCGCAAATGTTCGCATTCATGTCGAAAGGGTTATTGGCCTCCTTCGCCGTAAGTACTCGATATTGTCTGGAATTCTGCCAATTGATTTCTTAATTTCCAACCCTGGTGGCTCTCAGGAAGAAGCAACACCAGTGATTGACAGGATTATTAATGTATCTGCAGCTCTTGTTAATTTGTGCCCAGGCATTGAACCACTTGACTGAAATGGCAGCGAAAAGTTAAAGGAGCCTAGTCAGCAAAGCCTCTACCAGTTCCTTAAGTTCCTTTGAAATTACTGGCTTAGCAAGACTGTCCATTAAATTTACATGTCCAGGAGGGCAGGCAATTGAACTGACACACACCCAGTGATTGTTATTGATGTTCAAAATCTGAATAAAGTCCCCAGTCATTATATCAAACTGCTTGATAGGCCCGAGTGTTGGTCGTTGGAAGCCACGTATGCTGCTATTGACTTGCTGTAAGATGGTTTGAGCCTCATGTATTATTGTACCATCTAACCATCCTGTTGGTGACATGATAAAGTCATATTCTGCCTGCCCCAGTTTGGCATATTGCTTGTACTTTTCAATGGGGGTTTTACTTTTCACCTCTTTTACAAACTTCACTCCATATTCAGTACTGGAACTCTTCTGTTTAACAGGTTTACAAGCTGGACAAACCCATGTTGTTTTACTGGTGTTTGGCATACGTTTAAGATTTATGCAAGCCAAATGAAAGAATCTGCCATTCTTACAACCTTCATTGTGACATTCTAAGAGCTTATCAGTTTCACTTGGCTTCTTTTTGCAAACACAAATAGAATCCAAGATA